AACAAGTGGGGTTTTGGGCCCTGGTCTGCACATAAACTAGGCCAGCTCTGTGTGGTTCTGCTTGTCTGTTTTACATCTGGGCAGGATTTCATTTAATGAAAGGCTCTGTTTCTGAAAATGTTTGAAAATCACTTACCTGACTTGTATTTCTCATAGAGAGTATAGTGCGTTGAAAGGTGTCCCCTCAAAACATATTGTCAAGTCTTAACCCCCAGTACATGTGAATGTGACCTTATTTAGAAAAAGTGTCTTTGCAGATGTCACAAAATGAGGTCATCCTGCATTAGGGTGGGCCCTAAATCAATGGCTGGTGTGTTATAAAAGAAAGGAGAGGGAGATCAGGACCCAGAGACACAGGGAAAAGACACAGTGGAGAACTCTGTGTGACAATGGAGGTAGAGATTGATGCAGCTACAAGCCAAGGCATGGAACAGATTCTCTCCTAGGGCCTCCAGAAGGAACCAGCCCTGCTGGTACATTCATTTCAGACTTCTGACCTCCTGACCTATGAGAGAACGCATTTCTTTTATTTTAAGCCTCCCAGTTTGTGGGAATTTGTTATGGCAGTCCTAGGAAACAATACAGAGTGGATAATAGACCACTTACCTAGAAATGGGTGAGAGTGGGCTTATTAAAATGTTGGTCCCAGGCTCAAACCCAAAGATTCTGATTCTGTAGGGGCTCAGGCATCTGTATTTTGACAAGTTCTCCATAGGTGCAATGATTAATCTTTGAGCTGGTTTTGACAAGACACAGGTACAAGACTCTGCTCTGGATTGTAGCTGGTTTGGCTCCTCTGGTTGATGATGCTCCTCTAGTGGCTCCCAGATTCAGTGGGGCCAAAGGGAGAAGGCTTGATATACAGGAAATAGGCTGGTGTTAAACCTTCTGTAGTACAAAACTTTTGAATTCTGAGAATCATTTAAGAATGTTTACCCCAAGGAATCACAAAATCTGCCACTGAGGAAATAGGCTGTAGTGGTCAGGGAGTGGATACTGCCAAGGGGGTCAGATTTCCGGAGCAGCAAGAAGACCTCAGAACAACACATACACAAGAAGACAAAAGACTAACACCACACACACACACACACACACACACACACACACACACACACACACACACACAGAGTCTTATACTTGTCTGGTGCAGAAAATTCTGATAAAGCATTGCCATTTTTACTTTGAGTTTTGGTCCCTATTAAAAACGTAGATATCCATGTGAGTGTTGATCCTTGAAGCCAGTGTCAGCCATTTATGCCTGGCCTCTGATCTTTATCTGAGAGCACTTTTGGTAGGCTAGAAGATGGAGAAGAGCACGGTGGGCTGAGCAGAGTGGTTCTTGCTGCTAGCCTGAGACCAAACTCTTTACCCAGTAAAGCCAAAAAGAGCACTTGTTTATCCACCCAAGACTGATGGAGGTCAGCTGTGCCCAGTCCCTTGGATAGATGGGGGAGGGCCCAGGAAAAAGGCCAGGTGTTTGAATTCTGTGTGTGGGAGGGGCACCTTCCTGAGAGTAGCCTACCCAGCTGGACCCGTGGTCCTTCAGGAGGCCTGTGTTTGCTCATATCCCTGATTGCTCCCAGGTAAACAAATCCTGTTTCTATCTCCCAGAAAGGCAGAACTCCAGCACTGTGGCAGCCTGTTGTTATAGTTACTGACATATGACTTATTGCAGCGATTGTCAGAGCAATGGGAGAAAATAAAATTTAGCAGAGGCTGGTGGTGGGGGTTGGGAGAGAGAGGAGAGTGGGAAGAGAAAGTTTTCGGAAAAGACTTGGGGATGGGCCTGATGGCTTTGTGCGTTTGTACATATGGTGTGATATTAAGAGTATGGACAAAAGAGGTCTTACATTGGCAGCATGTCTGAAAGGATCTTGGGAAAAGACAGACTGTCCCAAACAGCTTCACCCCTGTTCCATATGCCTGACATTTCACCATTAGTGGTTCATTCCTGAGTTAAGCACTGCCTTTCTCCAGGGGAGGTCATGCCTTAGACTGTAGTTCAGAGTAAGTTTTTCTGGTGACTTTCTTCCTTAGAGTTTGCCAGAGCACTGGGGAAAGATTGGGGGGATGGGGGCCATCAAATAAGGACATAGCCTACTTTCAAAACTCAGATAGGGTTGGTATTGCTAGCCTCCTCTTTGGAAACTCTCCTGTCTTTCACCACAGTTATGAAGCTAAATGGGATTGAATATGAAAGTCCAGGATATCTTGTTCAATTGGCTAGCCATATACTTTTCTAAGGGATAAATGTAGCTCCTTCTTATTCATCAGCAAATATTTATATATCACCCATTATGTACTAGGCACTGGGTTAGGTACTATTGGGGTAAACATGGAAACGGTTGGGCATTAGACTATGCCCGACATTTAAGAAACAATCTAGGACACCTGGGTGGCTCAGTCGGTTAAGCATCTGCCTTTGGATCAGGTCATGATCTGAGGGTCCTGGGATCGAGCCCCACATTGGGCTCCCTGCTCAGCGGGGAGCCTGCTTCTCCCTCTCCCTTTGCCCCTCCCCCTGCTTGTGCTCTCTCTCTGACAAATAAATAAAATCTTTTAAAAAAAGAAAAGAAACAATCTAGTTACAGAGACTAGACATTTATGCAAGTAAGGCTGGCCAATAATACATAGTGGTTGTGATTGGTGTCAATGGAAGGATAGAGCTAATGGCTAATCTCAGAGGTGGGCAAGGTCATCATAGAGCAGGTTATCTGGGTAAGCCTTAGTTCAGAGTAACACAGTAAATCACTCAGGCCCTTAGCAGGACTGTGGGAAAACAGGGCATAGGACAAATCAGTTTTGGTGGGAATCGTGACACAGACTGAGTAGGGAACCTCTCTGCTTTGCTATTCATCCAAATTCTGGCCTGTCCTTTCCAGAGAGCTCTCTATCCTTCACTGATCAACCCTAGTCTCAGAACTCCTGTGCTGGAAACCCCAAGACTTAGATTGCCGTAGAAGCAGTATAAGCAAATGGTTAAGTGAGTGAGTTTAGGAGTTCAGTTGCCTGGGTTCAAATCCTGGCTCTGACACTGTGATCTTGGACAACTGATTCGACTGTGACTCGATTTTTCTCATTGGTAAAATGGGGGCAGTCATAATAGTGTCTACTTAACAGAGTTGTTGTGGGAATTAAATGAGCTCAGTGGTGTAAGATGCTTAGCACAGTGCTGGCTGCACATGAACTATTATGAACTATTTGTTCATAGAATAAGTATTGAGTGCCTGTGATATTACAGGCACTTTCCTAATGCGGGAATACAGCTGCACTGTATTAAGTGCTGATGGAGCATGGGGGCATTCAGGACCTTTACTCAAGGAACTTTTAAACTACTGTTTTTCTTTCTGCTCTCTCCATTCCAGTGCTTAGTCTATGTGTTATCACTTAGCTTACTTCTGTTCCTTTTTGTTTAACTGGGCAGGCAAGTAGTAGAGCTATGAGTTCCCTTAAACCAAGATTTGGTCATATCCCATAAGGTTTGATGTCAAGTGTTTTCCTTATCTAAGCATTTTGCAATTTGGGGTTTGATATGTACTATTTTTGCTTTTTAATGTATTATGGTATTCCACACTTGATAACTCTGTATTTTCTTTGTCCTTACTATATTCCAAAGAAAGACAGTGAAGAGACCTGTCTGACTTGAGGGGTTTAGGAGAAACCTGCAGGAGACAGGACCGGAAAAGACCATTACTGAAGGGTAACGAGTACTAGACTTCATGTGTCGGTTTCTCTTGTAATGGGACCTTGTAGTCACTGAAAGCATGGACAGGAATGACAGGATTGTTGTGCTGTACTGGGGAGAATAAGCCAGCATTGTTGCTCAGGATGGCTTGTGAGAAAGAGAGGGAATCCAATTAGAGGATTTTCATGTTATTCTAGGAGAGTGGTTCTTAAACTTGAGTGTGCATCAGAGTCCCCTGGAGGGGCTGGTCAACACACAGTGTGCTGGGCCTCACCTCCAGAGTTTTTGATTCCGTCAGCCTGCGGTGGGGCCTGAGAATTTGCATTTGTAACAAGTTCCCCTGGTGATGCTAACTAATGCTGCTGGTCCAGGAACCACACTTTGAGAATCACCTATCTAGGAGAGAGATGATGAGGAGCACAGGCAGAGTGGTGGGAGGAAAGAAAGTGTGAAAGAGAGATTGGGCAGGAAGAAACCACAGGGCTTGGGGATTGGACACAGAGACAAGGAAAAGGAAGGACTCAAAGATGATTCCAGAGTGTTAAGCCTAAGTGCCTTGGAGGGTAGAGAGTCACAGAGGCAAAATCCTAAACATTTAGGGGTGGAATGCTGTTGCATCACAGGTACTGGGAAAATACGTGAGTCCCTGTATCTCTCTGCATCTACATCATGACATTCACATTTAAAGGCCTTTTGTCGTTCTCCAGGAGAGAGGCTGGTGAAGACATCCCATGTCTGTGTTTGGTCTTTTCCTTCCTCAAATGTAACCTTTGAATAGAGGAAGAAAATGAAGCTAGAGAGCAGAGGGTAGGGAGTGTCGAAGGAGCTTGGATATTATGTAAATGGGATGTACACTTTCGGGTTGCTAAGTACTTTTTTTAAAGATTTTATTTATTTATTTGAGAGAGAGAGAGAAAATGAGTGGGGAGAGGGACAGAGAGAGAGGGAGAAGCAGGCTCCCCACTGAACAGGGAGCCCGATGTGGGGCTTGATCCCAGGATCCTGGGATCATGACCTGAGCCGAAGGCAGACGCTTAACCAACTGAGCCACCCAGGCACCCTTGGGTTGCTAAGTATTGAATGTATATGGGCAAATGCTCACAAGGAAAAGGCAAATGAGGAAAGCTCAGTGTGGACCATGCAGGGTAGCTCTAGGATACCACTGGAGATCACTGATGCTATTTCTGAGAGCAGAGGGTTGCCATGATAGGGCTTCTTAACTCCAGCCTACCTAACCTTCCCTAGTTTCCAAGCTTCTGATCCTGGGGCGTTATTGTTCCTGGCTGTTTCCTCAGCCCGTAGGAATTTCTCTTACCTGCTTCTCTCCACTTGGCCTCCGGTAGCTGAGCAGAAGCTCCACAGCGCCCACCACCTCCTTGCGGATGGCATAGAGCAATGCATCGCCTACATACACACTGTGGTTCAACAGTAGCTCCATGATCTCCAAGTTCTCATTTTCAATGGCGATGAGCAGGGCACTCCGGCCCAGAGGATCCATGCAGTTGATGTTGACATTGTAGTAGATCTCAGCCTCCTGTAGGGCCTGTTTCACAGTGGCATAGTCCCCCTTCTCCACAGCATTGAGGAAAGCCTTCTCTTCTGCAGAGAGCTCGGTCTCAGCCCTCACAATTTGCAGGGGGATACGATCTCTGTATGGTGAATAGTTGACTTTTTTGTAGTACAGTTGGGCCATGGTTCATAGCAATTTAGCAACCTGAGTGAGAGAGAGGGAGACCAAAGAGAGTCTTAGGTGCCTGAAGGTCTCAAGTGGCTGGTTTATGGAGGCAGCCTGGCTAAGGGGTTGGAAAATCAACTCTTTTCACACTACCATCTTTCTCTTCTTACAAAGGGGTATAGCAGAAAAAGCCCAGGCTTTTGGGTGGAAAGACCTGGGTTCAAATCCTGGCTTTACCAGCTCTGTGACCTTGGATAAGTCATTCAAGCCCACTGTGCTTCGGTTTATTATTAAGGTTATTGATATTAATAGCATTAATAGCAGTTATCACTTAGTTACTGCTTACTGTGTACCAGGCCCTGCGCTAAAGGCTAATTCCTCCCTCATAAAGCTCTTGTGAGAGTCAGGTGAGATAATATATTTTCAAAGCAACTGGCACAGCATAAACCTCCTAAGACATGGCACAAATTAATTCCTTCTTTCCCTTCTGCTGTCTGAGGATACTCATGAGAATACTTCTGATGGATGATGCAAAATTGTAGCTACCTTTGGCCAGTTTCCTTTAGGCCCTGGGCCCATGGGCCTGAGCTATTTTCAGGGTTACATTTGCAGCTGTCCCAGATGTAGATTCTGGATTGAAATCCGGTTTTCATGCTAACTGAAACCTTGCTTCTGGCTACTGCTCACTGGGGAACAGCTATTGGCTCCACTAGACCAAAGTTAAGTACCCCCTCTGCCTATTCATGATTTTTTCCTCTACCGCTTGAAACCAAGGAGCTGATGGATCTGATAATCTGTTTGATTCAGTTCTGAGAAGTGAATGGTCTATTTTATAAGCACCACATCTAAAACCAGATTTTAATGGAATTGATTTTAAAGTAAAACCTATTATTGAATTCCTACAATGTGTTTAACTTTCTCTGGGAAACCAAGAAGAAAAAGACAGTCTTTGCCTTCAATTGTATGGAATGAATAACAGTATAGAGTTCTTGCCTTGTAGTTTACAGATCAAATTCATGCACGATCCTTACTGACTCCTTGTACTAGCCCTGTGAGATAGGAATGGTTATCCTCCCCAGGGGAGAAGATGAGGCTCAGATCCATAAGGTGATTGGCTCCCCTTTCCCTCCCATCCCTGGGACCTCCAGGACCCTCTGGAGGCTGTTGGGCTGGACCGATTTAAGTGTCTCACTACTGAACTGTTTTGCCAGCAAAAAGAAATGGAAATGTGATAAAGGGCCACTTGTCTCATTTCCTGGATGGAAGAGCAGATAAAGACATGAAGCTTCCACAAACATTTGCCTCACTTTTCTAGGTAATGACATCCCTGCTTTGGCAAAGGGAGAAGCATATATTATACCAAGTAACATTTGCAATTCATGTGCTTGTGATCTTCTGGGAAGTTGGTATTTGAAGGTGAGTATCACCTCTTGCCCTGAACAGGTCCAAATGACAAATTTCTCTCTGCATCCAAGTCTCAGGAGAGCAGGGTACTGTTTGACTGTCTCAAGAAGCACTGATATTTTTCTGTGCTACTTTCAAGTAACTCAGCAGTGGCTAAAGGGAAGTGGCACTTAGAGTAAGCATTTGTCACTAAACAGCAAATGACTTTAATAATACTAATTGTAGACTGCCTCCCTGCCTCCCCAACTCCATTATAAACAAAGAAGGAGGAGGAAGAAGAGAAAGTGTGATCTCCTGAAGAGAGACTCAACAACCTGATTTAGTTTATATTTATTTAATCAGTGTGAACACACTGGAAGCCTGCAGTGTGCCTCGCACTATGCTAGTCATCTTGGGAGGGTATGAAAGAATAGGTCCATGCCTTCATTGTCTCTCACCTAAACCATTCCACTACCTTATGGTTGGTCATCCTGACTCCAGTCTCTTCCCCTCCGCATGGTCTTCTGCACCACCCACAAGTTATCCCATGAAACACACATCTGATTCCATTTCACTCCTTGATTAGTTTCTTGATGCTCTTGTGATGAAATCAACATTCCTTTCTGAGGTCTCCTAGGTCTGGGCTTGTGTCTACCTCTTCAGCTTCTCACCCTCATCCATTATTCTTTAGCCTTGTGGAACTTCTTTTGCTTCTCCCAACATGCCAAGCTTTTTTGCCACCTCAAGACCTTTGATTACCTCCTGGAATGCTCTTCTCCAGCTCTCTTCATCTCTCATACCTCAACAAAATGTCACCTCCTCAGAGCAGCCCTCACTAGCCACCTTGTCTAAAGTAGTTCTTTCATATTCTTCTCTCCATTATATTCTTTTCCTTCTTAATGCCTATCACAATTTGTAGTTACATATTTCTTTGTCTTACTGGATAATCATCTCTTCTGTCCAATTTGCTTTAAAGCTCAAGTTCAGGGATTGCATCTGTCCTGTTATAGCACCTGCACCTAGCCAAGTTCGTGGCATACCCTGGATGCTTGATATATATTTGATGAGTGAATGAGTAAACCTTCCATGATATTCTCTCCATCCCACCCTAAGTTCTAGCCATACTGAGCCGTGCTCTCTGAGTTGCCCTTTTATGACCATGTCTGCACATAGCTTCATTCCACTCTCTGCACCTAACAAATTCCTTCTCGGCTTCAGCACCTTGCTCACAGTTCTCCTTCTCTGTGAACTTTTCCCCCAACACCTTCAGAAAGTTAGCCAATCTCCCTCTGAGTTCTCCACTGGTACTTGGGTGACATTTCTCCAATGTCACCTAACTGCATGCTTGTCTTTCTGCCACTAGGGTAGGAGTACCTTGATTCCTGCCTTCTGAGGACTCACACAGGTCTGGAACATGACGGGTGCTTGACAAATGAATGTTTAACAAACACGATCTAGCTGTGGAGGGTTGGCATGGTCACAGAATAAAGTATTAAATTGTGTGGCACTGATATGATGCTTTGGGATTTCAGAAAGGCCTTGGTGAGGGCTGGAGATCTCAGAGAAGGTTTCATGGAAGAGGTAGCTCTTAAGCCAGTGTTTGGAAGATGAATTAAATGTGAAAATGTGAGGATAGTCCAGACACCGTAGAGCATAAGAACAACAGTGGTGAGATTGATCATGGCCTAGTTGGAGGGGTGTGGTGGATATAGTTTTCAGGCTATAATAAGATATAAACATTAAGGGTGTGCTAAAATTCCAAGGCAAGAGCTCATAACCTCAGTTTTCCCATCAGAAAAATGCTCTTAAATACTTGCTGCCCATTTGCCACTTAAGAGGTTACCATGGGAGAAAAGGCTAGATGTCTTTTCAGATGGGGTCACAGATGTTGCTGTGCTAAGCACTAAGATCTTGTCCACTTCCGTAAGGCAAGGCTGTGTGATAAACTGAAGACAAATGTATCCTAGTGCAAGATGAGAAGGAAGGGAACTAACTAAATTGGTGTCCTATTATATGCCAGGCACTGTGCCAGGAGCTGGTGCAACAAAATAATTAGTAGAGTTTTGAATACTTAATATGTCCCAGGCATTGTGCCAGGGCAGCACTATTACTACTACTGCTTCCTGTGGTAATAGTAGTAATAATGAAGGCGACAAGCAGTACCATTCGTTGAACTTTCACTATGTGCCAGATGTGTGGGTTATAGTGGTGAAGAGCAAGGACAGTAAAACACAGTAATTTGAGACTCGAAGTAAGTATAATTGGATTATATATAGTCAATTCAGAGTCTAGATTTACTTTTCATCTCTTGCATTTGAAATTGATCTGGTCTATTGCATTTCCAGTGAGCTGGAATATGAGAAACCTCATAGTATTCCCCTTAGAGAAAAATATCTCCTCCAGAGGTTTGCCTGAGAGTGTACTACTAGGGAATTGCTCCTTTGCTTTAAGGCACTACATCTCTAAAACTACCCCTGGAAGGAATAAAAAAATCATGTGACTAACAGCTGTTAACACCTTAATGTGGATTCCTTGAGGAGGAAAGTTGCTGTGGCCTTGGGAGCATAGAGATGTGTGTCTAAGAAAGGCAGGGAAGGTGTGATGAAGGGGAAAGGAGAGGCCTGGTGTCCAGCTTTGGGAATCTCTTTTATGTATCCATTCCCACCTCGACATTACACATTGACAATGATGTAAAATGGGTTCCTTGTGTTATCTGTCTACATGTAGGCTTATGTAGACATCTAATGACTTGCCTAATGCCCTACCCTCTTCCATTCCCCACAGCTGGTGCCATGTGACCCTTACTTACAGCTTTAGCCTCAGCCTTCCTCCAGGCTGAGACCAGTCCTTTCTTCATAAGCTGTTAGTCCTACTCTGCCATTTTTCTGGGAACAAATAGCTAATGATAGAGTTTCTGGCATCTCTTGAGGATTGGTAAGGTTCCTTCCCGTCACTCTTTACCTTTATACTTGGCAGATTGTACTCATTTGTCATTAACCTAAGCCAAGAGATGAGGTTGGCTTTCCCATCATTATGCACTGGCCTTGAGGTGTGTTCTTAACTGAACAAAACAAAACCAGCCAGCACTTAATGCCATTTCTACAAGTGAACCTCACTCCCAATGTAGTCCACCAAGTAAGGAACATTAGGAATGGTCTACCAGGCTGCCTCAGGGGGCTTATCGTGTTCTCTCTTTTTTATGCTTCTAGCTAGAGGAGAGTGTCTAATGGGATCTGTGACATTTGTAGGCTTAAATGATGTGATTTAAAGAGCTAAATCAATGGGCTGGGCAGAAGGCCAGGGCGCAAATCTCAGCCCAGATCACTGCCCATCTCTGGACTTTGTCTGTGAAGAGGAAAGCCTCGCTTTACACCTAACTAAAAAAAAAAGTGTGCTTTTAGAGGGATGTGGTATCTGTGCATGGCTTACACTCTGTGCCATCAGGACTGAGCTTGAATAGTGAAGCCCTTGTGACCTCTCGCCCTTATCCATGCCTACCTATCCACTTCTGCATCTCTTCAGAGCCCTTTAAGACAAGTAGATTTAATCTGATAAACTTGTACAATCTCAAGTGTAAATGGTGGATAACGAGCACATTTAATGATTATGTACCAGGCACTGTGATAGAAGCTGATGAAAATGGCTGG